CCTTTCCCCTACAACCTGCTTTTCTGGGGCCCGGTTGCCTCCCATCACAATCTGCTTTCCCATGTGGCTCCTGCATCACTTGCAAGTAGCTTCATGTATGTATATTCAAGGCAAGTGTCTTAAGACACCCCCCATCAGCTTTTCTCTCTTTAGGAGAAGAGGAAGAGTGAGCCCTAGAATGCCTCTGGGGTGATTCTCTCTGGTTTCCCTGGAATCCCAGTGTCTGTCTGGATGATGAGGCCCCTTGGATAGGATGCATTTTTGGCCTATGAGAGCAGAAGGAAAGCTATCTTTCCTGCAGCTTAAGATTCTATTGGGAAGAGGTAAAGTCTCCATCTTTCTTTAGGGCTGCATAATATTCCATGGTGTACATATGCCACAATTTACTGATCCATTTGTGGATTGATAGGCACTTGGGCTTCTTCCATGACCTAGCAATTATGAATTGGGTTGCAATAATAAACATTCTGATACAAATATCTTTGTTGTAGTGTGATTTTTGGTCTTCTGGATATATACCTAGTAGAGGAATTGTTGGCTCAAATGGCAGGTCTATTTTTAGTTCTCTAAGTGTTCTCCAGAAGTCTTTCCAAAAGTAATATATTAGTTTGCATTCCCACCAGCAGTGTAGAAGTGTTCCCTTTTCTCCACATCTGTGCCAACATCTTTCCTTCATGTTTACATGGATGGAGCTGGAAAATGTTCTTCTCAAAATATCTCAAGAATGGAAGAAAAAGTATCCAATGTACTCAGCCCTATTATGAAACTAGCTTATAGCTTTCATATGAAAGCTATGACCTAATTATAGCTTAAGAATGTGGGGAAGGGGGAGGGGAAGGTGAAGGGAGGCTGGTGGATGGGTGGAGGGAGGGTGATTGGTGGGATCACCTCTATGGTTTATCTTACAAGGGTACAAGTGAATCTTTCTAAAAGTAGAATATAAACGTCTTAACACAATAACTAAGGAAATGACATGAAGGTTATGTTGATCAGTTTGATAAAAATATTTCAAATTGTATATGAAAACACCACACTGTACTCCATGATTGCATTAGTGTACACAGCTGTGATTTAATGAAAAAAAAAAAAAGGATTCTGTTGGGAGGTCAGACACAGCTTAAATGGTCCTGTAAGCATTCTTAGCAAGGGTCTACTCCTTTGGACTCAGGAGTGCAGTCCCTGAGTGCAGATCTCTGGACCAGAGTTAAAACCTTAGGGCAACGTTTTGTCTCTGGTAAGTGATAGCTGTGTGCCCTTAGGCAAGTCATTTCCTTATTTGCAATTCATATTTCCTTAGCTAATAAAGGAGTAAGTTGAATTTCATACACTTAAAAGGTCTTTCCTGGTTTGGTATCCTACTGGGGTGTGTGTGTGCATCTTCTTGAGCCTAAGGGAGAGATGATAATTAAATTGGGAGGATATGTTTCAAATCCATTATTTTCCCAAAGAAATTGAATTCATTTTAAGTTTTCTAAACACCTCCTACATGTTACGTTAAATCTGGAATTGGTTTTCATGCCTGAGGGCCTCAAAGAGCCATCTCTTCTCTTATTCTTGCTAAGAAAATGGATCTGTTTTGCTAAATAACATTGATTTGACCATACATAACAACAGGTATAAAATGTGTATATATCTTAGCATATTAAAAGTACCTTCAATTTTCCATTGATTAGTCTTGAGAAGAAGAGTAAACACAAATACAATTAATTTATTACCTTAATACAAGCTGGGGGGACAAATAGTCACCACGCAAACGGCAGATTTCATTTAAACAAACAAGATCATTTTGCAATGAAGGGTTCATATCACCAGTATAGTGGTTCCCTGCTTATTTGCACCCCAAATACACTCCTGAGCTATAAGCTGGTAGCTGGGAGGAGGCTGATTGATGGCATGAGCTGCCACTGTTCCAAAACACCTTCAAGTAATTCCATCTGCTTCACAGTTGAACTATTTAGCAATCAGGGCTGTCTAACCTTGGCCCATGAGACACATGCAGATCATGTAAGGATGATTTTGCTTATCTGTGGTGTCAAACATCATGAAAAGTATGCAGGGACCTTTTGTATTGTTCATCAGCTTTCTTTTTTTTTTTTTTTTT